GTCGGACACCAATACACTCGGGTCGGACAAACAATAAACCTCAGTTTCACTTAGGTCGGACAGAATGTCCGGTGGTTTCTTTTCTACGTCGGACAATTTCACGAATGGGTCGGACAATGTCCGTGACCGACCGATATTTTAAGGCCGCCCGTATATGTGGAATATTGCAAGTGTGGTTGCAGCCTGTCACTGCCAGCCTATAATATTTCATTACTTCTCTTTTCTAGGCAGTGGAGCGGGAATTGGAACTGTGTTTGGCAGTCTTATAATTGGCTATGCAAGAAATCCATCTCTGAAACCACAGTTATTCTCGTATGCTATTATGGGTTTCGCCTTATCAGAAGCTATGGGGCTATTTTGTCTTATGATGGCCTTTCTTATTCTATTCGCTCTGTAGATGGAAGGACAATATAGACGTTATAAACGTTAGCCATGTTTTAAATATGATCAGTCGTGTTGACAATAAGATAAATCTAAGAATTTCGTACTAGGTTTGAAAGTGTTTGGCTAATAAAATGTTTGTTTTAAATTATACTTACGGATAGATATTAATTATCGTCTTCGATGTTCTTTTGAGAGTTTACCTTCATATACTTAAGTGAGATTAATCGCGTACAGTACTTACGTAGGTACGCCAGTATCAATGTCTACGCGGTACCATAATGTACTGTAGTCGGAACTTTCATGTATAAGACATGACTACTTGGCATTAAACATGACAAACATAAATGGATTGGACTCATGGGATGAGATGTGACATTCCAATTAAGCCCATTTTCCACTAGGCGAGTTTGTTCGCGCGAAGCGACTTTTTCCTTCTTTTCATTCAAATTATTAGTACTAACTAATACCTGAACAACTACACAAATCTAAATGCTGTTCTTTTACTCAGTTCTTTCATAAGTAACATCTGAAGAGATTTCAAGCGTTCAACTGGAAAGCAGCCTTCAGGAATGTCGGAGTTGATTGTACGGTAGTGTTTGTATATGCAATTGAGCTCCTTAATCTACAATCTCTGTCATAAACTGTGGGACTTATGCTGTAATTTCACACAATTTGAAAGGCGAAACGTTGTGTTGGGCGCACAAGAAACATGTCTGGTTGCAAGACTGCACATTGAGATGAAGAAATCATGGTATGATACATCTGAGATCATATTGCATTGTATATTGTCAAAGGAACTCCTAGTGTCAGGTTACTGAATGCTTTATGTGCTTCATTTTAAGACCGAGTACACCTTGAATCTTAAGTTTGTACCAGCTCATGTACGCGTCAATAATCATTGGAGTGTCAGTCAGGTACGACTGTAAAAGTCTTGAATTATTGCATCCGGACTGCCTTGCATATACGCATGTCCTTTTCTGACGCAAAGAGATTGTCGAATAGTCTGACGAAAGATGAAAAGAAAACACTCGATACTTATATAGATTATATAGATTATAAAGAATTTGTAGGAGGAAGGAGGTACCATCATTTGTTTTCCAAATATGTACTGCAAATAGCTTGTACAAACACGAGGCCTTATCTGAGATGTTAACAAAGAGCGGCTCTTTGAAATTTTTTAGAAAATCTTATGTTAATAAGGGTATTGGCAATAAAATTGTTTATCTTCCTATAACAGATTTGAAATCTATTTCTATTTAAATCCTCTTCAAAAGATTTTTTTTGTTTCGCTTAATTCCGGGAATATTTTCACTGACAACAATAATTTTCCCAGATTCTTGAATTGGATTATTTTTTACCCGTTTATTCATCCATGACGTCAAAGCGTTGTTGATAATCCGCACTTATGTGATGTTTCGAGACTGTTGTCTCCGTGTACACTCAACCAGACCTAGAAAATATATTTCTCTTTCTGGCAGCAAAATCCAAAAATAAAAATTTCCTGTGTATTGAGTGAAATGCAAAAGTTCCTGCATATATAGATTTCAGAGAACGTATTTGGTACCACACATTGTGATAAACAATTGTGGTGGACAATATCGACTCTCATGCAAAACGCTTTTGTAACAATGAGTAAATTATATGGCATTCGATGACAAAGATGTAAGAGAATTTCCTGCAAAAATATTTTCAGTGTTAAAAATATCCTTGCAGCGGTCCTGCTAGCGCTACTGGAGATTTTCCAACACTGCACTCAACTGGGGAAGTGTGTCACACCCACACCAGTTTGTTCTCTGGTTCTTGTGTAATTGTATGTTCCAAACTTCAAATACTTGAAAAGCAATGTTAAAGGGTAATGGCAATAAAAAATTTTATTGCTTTATCTGAAAGAGCATGAAAAAATAAGCCGATTGGCCGTTTACTGCTCTATTCTATCTCATCTGGTTCCGAAGTTATACGCAAAAATGTGCAAAATATAAATTGCTGATTCAGCACAACGTGTGACGTCATTGGTAGGGTAAGTGTGTTTAATGAATACTAAACTGAAGCATAGCTCAGTTATTATGGGCCCAAATCAAATGAAATTTTGGATACTGATTGTACATGATGAGACGCATTGAAAAACACTTCTAATTTTGTTGCCAAGGTAACAATGTCGTTCCCAGGCCCCTTGTGCCAATTTTATAAAACACCTTTATTCATGGTATTTATAAGAATAAAATAATGTCAGAAGTATGTGTACCATACCTATGCATGCCAAAAGTTTACTTGCATGATAATAATTCGAAAATGACATACACATAGATAAATGCAACTAGTTATTCAAAATCAGTGTAAGGGGCCTGGGAACGACTGCGTTGCCTTGACAACAAAATTAGAAGTATTTGCCCATGCGCCTCATCATGTACTATCTGTATGCAAAACGTCATTTGATTTGAGCCAATAATAACTGAGCTATGCTTCAGTTTACTATTCATTAAACATACTTACCTTATCAATGACGTCACACGTTGTGCTGAATCAGCAATTTATATTTTGCACATTTTTGCGTATAACTTCGGAACCAGATGAGATAGAATAAAGCAGTAAACGGCCAATCGACTTATTTTTTCATGCTCTTTCAGATAAAGCAATAAA